CATGTCATTTGCACCTCTAGTAATATATTTACTGAGAAAAATGGTGACGTGTTCAATACTTATTTTACCCACTGTTTATGTCACAATTTCCTCCAAAAAATGAGTGAGTCAGAAAACCATTGATTCCATGAGAAAAGAAAATGCCATATACAGTATTTCAGTGCATTTGAAGACGCCTATGTTGTAGCATTCCTCCTTTTTTTACATCAAAAGAGCCCATATAAGTCAACACACCGGTATGTTCTGCAAATTGGCAGCATTCCTGTGCACAGTGGCTCCTTTCTCCCCCCCTTCACAAGACCCCCTATGTTCGCAGTGGGACAGATTGACATGGAGCTGGTCCTGGACTACAAGCGGCCCATTCACAGTCCATGCAAGTCTGGAACCATCACACCTTTTCAGTGCTGCTTCACAGCAACATCTCCCTGGGTCACTTCGAGGGGGGAAAAGAAGAAGAAGAAGAAAAAAAAAACCCAAAAAGAGACAGAAAATCTGTAGTTTATCAATCTCTGCTTCGCCTGAAAAAGCACTGAGAAACAGGGGAGGACATATCGGAATCCTCGTGTTATTAATGCTTAATAAAGTTAGGAAAACTTTTTTTAAAAGTCTTAACATTTTTTCTGTCTGTTCTTACCGTACGAAGCTTTTTCACTCCGGACATTTCGCTGTAGAGTTCACCCCGCCGACGGACAAGACAGGACAGCCAGACACCGGGGACACACCGGAGACCTCTTTCTCTCTTTCCCTCCGCGAAGGTTTTAATCACCGAACCTCAAGGGAAGGCGTTAAAAACAAGAAAAGGCGAAGGGAGGCGAAGGCTGAGCTTTAAAAAAGCGGCTTTCAAGACACGTAGCTTTCCGGTTGGCCCGTCCCCCCCGGTCCTCCCTCATCCTGAGACGTCCAACACATTTACATAAAAAACTGTGCGAGGCGAGCTGCTTTTAATCTGTAATCTGTAAACTAAAACACGGTGTTCAGAACCGGTGACAAACAGCGAGTTCGAACCCCGGGATGAGCAACCATCTCCGGCTGTCATTGCGCAACWTTTGTTTATTTAAGCCACCTTTTGAGGGGTATGAGCGCACAAAATGTTCGAGTTATTCACACAAACTGGCAGTTTATGCCCAGAGTTAATGATAAATAAARAAGGAACTCAGTACCCGGTCAGTAACCGAAGTTAAATCAAGCAAGGTGTATGCAAGACAAAGTTCAAGTTATATAATCCTACAGGCTGTATTAAGTCATCCAGAGACTGATATCTAAAACACATCAAGTTTGATTGAAGGTTCAAGGACGTTCATAGACTCTTAACACCTGGGGGCTGAGCCCAGTTAAGAATCAGTCGCTGTGTTTCCATCCAATTTTAATTCCAATTTTGATCAAATTAAAAAAAAATTTCACAAAAAGGGGAAAAAATGCAAATCAGATGTGTTTCCATCATCTGGCTTGAAGCAWATTAACYAGGCTATGCACATGGCTGTGGTAAAMAGGAAGTAGAATTYGCAAACTCGCAGGGACAYCTCTGGACAATGGAGAGAAGTTGTCAGGAACGTGTTATTGGGAAAGTTTTACTTATTCTGTCATCAACTAGTTTTGGCGATGTCAGGCTACATGCTGTCTGGAGACGTAGAGAGAGAGATGCAGTTCTCTTCACGTTACGGGAATAACAGAATTATTATTTTTTGATTGAAGATGCTTTTTGTTTGATTGAATAATAAAAACACAAATTTACCTCCAGCAGCGGGAGTCGGGTCCAGCTGCAGTCGCGTCTGCAGTCGCTCTGGTACCAGTACCAGTAACGGACAGACAGCGGGAACAGCTGATCAACCATGTAAATGTTCACTACGTCAGAACTTATTTGGCAAATGTGTTTCCATCTCTCCTTTTGCGCTTTTTCAAAAACAAAAAAAAAACCCACCTCAGGCGAGCCGCGAGCGTATCAACTTTTTTTGAGAATTAGAGGAAACTTTATCAAAGCATGCCATTTCCATCCACATTTTCTAATGCGATACTTCAAAATGTGCATTAAAAACATTGATGGTTGTTTGTWGTTGATCTCTGTCAGCAAAATGTGGAATTTTTCAATTTTAGTAATTTTTTTAATATTATTTTATTTCAAAAGTTTTGTCAAAAGTTGACACTTCATCACCCCACTTTAGCGATACGTTTTGTTTACGTGAGTGACAATTTGAAAACTCAGTTTTCAGTTATCTGGAATATTTGTTGGTAGTTCTTGTCCTCTTGAAAAGTGTAATCCCGAGTTTTATGATGAAGCCAAACAATGGATTCTCCTGCGCTAAGGCAGTAGAGGCAGGTACAAGGTGGACAAAGATGGGTGACAAAATAATGTTCATGGCCTTGAATTCTATTTTGCAAGCTACAAAAAAAAGTAAGCTGTGATTTATTTTTTTTTTGTTTTTTAATCTGGCAGCTCAAAAAGCGGACGTATGGCTCCATGGTCACTTGGTTGCCAGCAACTGCAATGAAAAATGCACCTATTTCCACCAACTAGTCTCCAAACACCACAGGCCGATGAAATTTAAACCGAAGCCAGATTCTGGGTCACATCTTCATATATCTTCAAAGTTACTGAACAAAACAAGGCAACTGAAGTGATTAGAAACTTGCCTGATTAGGTTACCACCGGAAACCATCCTAAATTCTCTCAGTCATTCCTAACACAACCATAATAGAGTTGTTTGACACCATTTTTACTACCAACTATAAACGTGTGGGTTGGCACTTTACTCATTTAAACGAGCCAAAGAGATGACGCCATAAAGAGTTACACAACATTACTGTTCTGTTTTCTTGATGACAGATTTGTTCAGAATGATGGCACTTGATGTTCTTTTTGGTTTTTGACTTTTTGTTTTAGTCCCTCTGAACCAGTTTCATCGAACTGTGGATCGACAGAGTTCAAACTCTTTCTTGATGGAATTTGATTTTCCTCTCAAGCCTTTAAAAAAAATTAACCCATTCTATTTCTAATGACATCACAGGGAAAGCCAGACAGTTCAGTTGAATAAAAATATGATCATGAACATTTTAACATATTAATACTAAAAATGAACTAACAGGTTTTACGTGAATAGGGCCATACTCACTTGTTCTTTGAAACTGCATGGACAACTGAACACGTCATGGAACAGGAAGCAGTTTCATTTAACATTTACTGTATGCCATACCTATGGCCTCTTTTCCAAAGTTACCTCAGATTAACTTAACAGCTATAACCTGTTGAACCAGATATTCATAAAGAAGCAAAAAAATTTCTGTCTAAATATAGGTAGTAAAGTATTCTAGGTCCAAGGTCTTTGTCTGCTTGTTACATATCAAATATTTTTAACAGCTATGACAAAAAAGCAGAAAAAGGTGCATGTAAAAGGTCAGTTTAAACTTAACTTGACAAATTAAATGATAAAAGTGACAAGCAGGACCAGAGTGGTTTGACAGTTTTTCCTCATGATTTGACTGTTTTGAAATTTTAAAACCAGTTTGTATTAATTAAATCTACTTTTCTTTTGATGCATTTTTGAAAAGATGATGTTTTCCTTATTTTCAAATTACCAAAACATTGAGGTTATAAAATTACCATATCTTTTATACCTATTGCTAGAATGACCTTTTGAAATTGAATATCATTAGAAAGCAATAGAAAACAACCCCAAGATGCACCGTTGAATGACAGGTTTGCATTTTTTCGTGGAAAAATAAGGTATAGCAATCATTTGAGTTTAAGCCATGACAATGATAAACAGGTCAGAACAGGAAGGACTTGAAATACATTGTTTGGTGTTTCATGCCRTGTTCACTCATGAAGTCAAGAAAAACACAGGGAGTGAACTGTGCTTTGTTATCATGTGTGACTGTACAAGGCTTTCCTTCACACGCAAAAAAACTAAAGTTATCTTTTTGGGTGAAATGTTCCTTTTTTCTTCCAGTTATCAGCCTTTGGTATAGGCAGTGTAGGCAAATGCTAAGGGTGCCATCCATTTGGGGGCACCAAAAATGAATGACAAAATGAATGACTAAACAAACAAATAAATAAATAAATAAATAAATAAAATTCCAACTTTTATTTAGTCTGTAGAATAGTCATTGGTTGCTCGAGTTCATAAAGGTGATTTGTTCTGTGGGTTTCCCAGCCAGCTTTGTTACTACATGTGGTGTTATGTGGTGCAGAGGATATTTTGTGATAAAAGCATCATATGATGCTCTCAAGACGATTTATTGGTGCTCATTGTAAAGAGAAAACAAAATCAGGAAAATGGAAGTTTCAGTTATGATCTCAGATAAAGTTCAGGTTAAAGTCTGATGGTCAGTGTTCATAAAATACTGATTTTATGTTGTAAAATGGGTGGAGTACACCCCCGGACCACCCTAGAACTGCTTCACTCCACAGCTGCTCATTCACATGAACAGGTGTTCCTCTTTGCTGTCAGCAGATGTTGGCGGGAAGTATACTTCTGGTATTCTGTTTCTAAGTAATTTATATTGTTAACTGTTTTAATTGGACAACAACATGGAGTAAAGAATTGTTCAGATTGGAAGCCCAATATGCAGAAAATCTATTAAGTTCTCAGTTAAATGTTTATTTTCATATCTAAAGACACTATTTCACTTCAAGCGTATTTGTGGCTTTGGAGATCTAAACAAAATGTCCCTCAGCTTACATGTGCTTACAATAGTTTTAGAAAGCTTTGTCACATCACACCATGGATATGATACCATGCTTATCCAAGGAAGTACCCTTAAAACAGTTTTTCATTTCTGAAATGTAAAATGTTATGTGTTTATACAGTATTGTTGGAGTGAGGCATGTTAAATAGAGACTTGTTAATTATTTTACTGTTTAAAGTAAATGACTACGACTGATCACAAGGTACAAAATAAAACTGTATTTAAAGTTATATGTGAATGTATTTTAATTGGCAGTGAAATTACAGGGGGTGCCAAATTGACTAGTTATCACAATTTACTTGATCAGCAGAACATGTCACTCATCAGGTGTTTATCTAATCCATACTAAACCAGTGGCATTGCCCATCACGATTTGCCTGTTAATAATGAACAGGAGGTGGGGGGTCCACGTGTCCGAACTGATCACGCACCTTTATCTATGATCTTTACAGGTGCAGGCGAGACTAGACTTGCAGCTGAGAGCAATGTAGCATTTTTAGCTGCTGCTTCAAATTGGCAAGCTATGAGCAGAGCTTTGTCCAGTGTGAGGTCATGCTCTGGCAGCAACTCATCATTCACAGCACTGAAAAAAGGCAGCAAAAATCAACTGATTGCTTAGTTCATTTCCCATCAGTTCAAAAAGACGTGGTGCAGCTTAAGCTCTGAACTTGGCAACATATTCCCACAGAGCAAAATTTGTCTGGCTCTGGTCCACACCAAGGTGATAATAGTTTTGGATTTTTCATTATAGTAGTTTATTTTGTTTTAACTTTTTTAGTTTTTATTAGTTATTGGTTTTTTGATGCTTAGTTTAGTTTTAATTAGTTCTAGTATAATTTTTTTGTAGTTTGAATAAACATATGTGCCGAGGCATCCTCCCACTTGAGGTGTTCTTGTGAGTTAACTAACCAGCAGCTATTTGGTTACCAGTGAAAACAGTCCATTATAGCATCACCTTCCTAAAATTATTGCATAACTCAATTTTGCCAACAAAGGACATTGGCAATTATTTAAAAAAGGTACTGTTAGTTGTCTCCAACCCGGTGGCTGGGCTGTTGCTTGTTTTTCATGGGGGCTACTGAGAGAGCTTGTCAAGATAATCACAGCTAGTTAGTCCCTTGAGAAGTATTCAACCTTTTTTATCACCTGTTTCCATCACAAGGCATTTGCTTTTATTGTTCTCACAGTCATTCAAAAAAAAAAAATATCCCAAATTGAACTTAGCTGCTTTCTCCCATTTTTTGTTTGCAGAAAATTGTAAACAAATGACGTTACGGACCATGAGGTGCTATAAGATGCTCGCAGCTAATGTGAAACTGCTAGGTTTGAAGGAAAAAAATAAAAGATTTGTTTAATCAGTCCACACGGTTTAAAATAAATTGGCAAACACTAAAACTAAGGATATTATATTTAGTTTTAGTTAGTTTTTTTTTAAAATATTATGCAGTTTTAATTATTGTTTTTTCATTTTATTACAGTTTTCATTTATTGCAGCTAATGTGCAATGTTTGAAGAAAAATAAAAGATTTGTTTAATCAGTCCACACGGTTTAAAATAAATTGACAAACACTAAAACTAAGGATATTATATTTAGTTTTAGTTAGTTTTTTTTTAAAATATTATGCAGTTTTAATTATTGTTTTTTCATTTTATTACAGTTTTCATTTATTTCAGTTAACTAAAATATTTTGTTTTTCAGTTTTTGTTATTTAGTTAGTTTTAATTAACGATGCACTTGGCCCAGATACCGCAAAGAATAACAGCCTTTTTGGTGGCCCAGATGTAGTTTGCTAGAAGTGGTCCACGCATGGGCCAGTACCACTTAAACTAAACCACAAGTTGTGACATGCCATCTTAAAAACAATGCCGTTTTTGCCAGACCTGGTCCACATCTGGGTGATAAACCAATTGTAATGCCAATAATCAGTCAGCAGTGCCATCTTGACACCAGATCTAGCCTACACCTGCTATGCGGGCTGGTTCTTGGTTTTATAAATAAAAAAATTGACTGCATGTGTGCCTGCAAGTCAATATAATAACTATGTGGACAAACTGTCTTTCATTGCATCCATAGCTTCATTAAATAAYGTGAAGAACAGATCCTGTCCTTCTGGTCCTCAGCAGCGTAATAAAACAACATGTTGTCTTTTATCTGGCCATTTGTCTCCTGTAGCATTTACGAGTAGCATATAATTATCAAATATTGCCTACCAAGTTGTAAATGTGTTTTCTCACTCTTTTTATGCATTGTAGTTTACTCTTACATCATCACATTGCAACTTCTAGCAACAAGTAGTAAAACAACAACAACAACAACAACAACAACAACAACAACACACACACACACACGCACACACACATATCAACTGGGTAGATATTTCAGGTAATTAACTAATCAGACAAAAGATTTATGGCTTGTAATGACAAAAGTCATATGAAAATGCTTTTGTGTGCACTTAACTGGCACTTTATTGAGGGCAGGTTGWCTTTGGGTGTGTTGCAGATTTGTGTAATAAGTAATAGTTGTCCTCACGTCTTCATCTGACCTCACTTTGAAGAGGAATGAGTTTGAAAGGGACATTCTGTGTGACTGCATGAAGCAACTGTGGGTTAGTTGTAAACATAAAAAAACAAAATAGTTTTTTTATATCGATGTGTTCTGATGTGACAAAAAAAAACTGCAATTTTAGTCACTCATCATCATCATCAAAATTCAGCTGACTGTTATAGCCAATCCAGGGACATATTTCTAAATATTTCATTAAAAAGTACCTATTTGTTGGTAAGATATGCTGACAGAGACACACAAATATTTAATTGCCCCTTTTTTGGTCTTTTATTCTGAAACATTCAACGTTTGGCAGAAACACACAAAAAGCTTGGGGTGAGGGAACAATCAGAGCACCTTCAAACTGAATAGTCTGAACGGTTTTGACATTTTATTTAAGTCCAAAAAATATCAATCCAATCCATCCAAAAAAGAAAAAAAAAAAAAAGACATTTTATTTAAGTCAAAAACACAGACTACAATCCTGCAAAAAAGTACCATATCTCTGCATAAAATCTGCAGTTGTTACCATTACATAGCAAAACCTTCAGCTGTGTAAATATACTATGTAAAATATGATCAATGCAAATCAACAAAACCTTCACATGAGAAAATTTGCCATTCAGTCTTGAGCTGTAGACTCTTCACTTTGTATCATAAAAGCAGTAAATCCCAATAAAAACAGAACTTGAAAACACAAGTCTCATTTGTAATCAAATTAAAATATAAAAAATGAACTATCTGGTCAAAATCAATAAATATTCAACTAACGAGCTTTAGATTAATCTAATTTGACGCACCTTGCAGCAAAATTGACTTTGGCAATTTAATACTGTTATGGTAAACAACCCTCCCACCCGGGTGTTTAATACTGAATATATAAAATGCCAAAGGAAAAAAAAGCTCTATGTTGCATATTAAAGAATAAGAAGTGCTTTTCAGCTATTTTTTTTAAACCATAGGACAACAGGAGTAGAAAATACACTCTTGCAGTTCAAAACTGATTTTAGGTAATGCCAAACTGTGGTAAAGTATTGATTTACATGAAAAAATCAGATGTGCCATTAAAAAAAACAACAAATTGCCCTTCCTTTGCTAAATCAATACTCTCTGTCTAAAGTTCAGGTGGGTTTTTGAACAGCTGGCACTCAGTCTCAAAGTCACAGCCGTTGAGCAGTTCTTCATAGTGCTTTCTGACATCTTGATAGAGCGGCATGGACTGCTGGTCAGTCAAACCGGGGAAAGTCACGGGCTTCTCGTTGAGCAGCGGCTGCAGCCTGACGTCGCCTCCGCCACAGTCGTACAGCACCAGGACCAAGTTGGCGGCGTACGGCAACATGAAGCTGGTGCGGAAAGAGCGCTGGGACTGGGAGGCGAAGTCGGATGACCTCAGCGGAACGGTGTCCTTGAAGAAACCCAGGAGGGTGAGAAGGGGCAGGAGGGTCTCGGCATGGCCCACCTGAACTGTCACAGCCTCCGTGACGAGCTGACCCGACCTGAAACAACAAGCAGCTGTAAAGTTTGACTTCTGCCAAAGCATCACATGATACCAACGCTTCAACTTCACAGGCAATATAAACATTAAACAACGTTTAGAGCTTCTTTTTGATAGACATATGAACAAAATAAGAATTCAATCCAAAAATGTTTGGTGCCTTTTTCAATAATCTTTTCCTGAAAAGTTATGAAGTTTCAGCTCTTTCAGTCAAACCTTGAAATTAACTTTATTACGCGATCTCGTGCAATACTGACCTTGTATGACCAGTTCGTGCTTGGGCTAGGTGTTGCTTACGATTGTCAGCCACTCCAACGTCTGTAAAATTGGCCGAGCAACAGCCGTTTTTATGTTTGCTAAGTTTAATTAGCTGTGGCAGCCRTCTATAACTGGGTTGACTCAGGGCCAGAGATAGATTTTTTTTTTGTAAGGGGTGGCACATGTGTGGTCAAGGTGTTTTTTTAGGGGGGCACATACAAAAAAAACTACTCTGGATTTGCATATTCAAGATGGCTCCCGAAACTAATTTTAAATGGGTCTATCGCAGCTATTTTTAGACATACTGAGCAGGAGTTTGGTGTGATGCGAGTTGCGATTGCTAACATGATAGTACAGGGAAAAAAACTAAATTGGTGGCTGTGGCTGTCATCCTCCAATGAGAAAGTTGGCGGTTCAATTCCACCACAATTCAATCACAGGTCAAAGCATCCCTGGACAAGGCACTGTACCCTCACTTCCTCTGATGTCGATATCAGTGTCTCGTTAACATCCAAATGTTTTCCCTGTGGAGATGCTGACCTAAAAGCATCAAGTCTGAACCTGGAACCTTTTGGGACCTCTGAAACAGATGGCATGTTTAATTACGGGCCAAATAAAAAAAATTAAGTCAAAAGCAGTAGGAGTTTGGTGATGCTATGAATCATGACTTTTGGGCGGCTTTTGAGAAACATGCAGCTGTTTTGGCTAGACTGGGGAACTGATGAGTCAGCATTTACAGTGAGGACACACCACAACTGAGGTTAAAACCAGGGAAGGAAAGAATGCAAGGCTTGGATWATTATTGAAAATTTTTCTCAAGTCAACCTAAATGCTTTCCAAAAATAATAATAATAAAAATAAATAAAAATAGGAGTCGGACAAATCTTGCTTGTTTCAGAAGCATCAGAGCCTTATGGTGGGCTGGATTTGTTCAAGTTATCGTTCTCGCTTATTCAACACACCTGCATTACATTCATTATAAGTTGAAAGAAATGCCTCTGGACTGGTACACCTGGATCGTAGTCCTACGTTTTTTTCTTTTATTCACAGAGGGCTCAGTGTCACAAATTTCAGCTTCAACTGACACACTTCCTGAAACAAAACATGGCCATGGAGATATTTTAGGAACCCCTGTGGAAACATTCGTAGACGGTGGTTAACCAGTGAGCTAATGGTTAATGAAGCATCACCGGTGAGGTTTCTACTGGGTCAGCTAGTAACAAAAGTTGCAAAAATATGAAGGACATTTGATATAAATTACCTCAAATTTGTATTCAGAATGAACCACTTTCTATTAAAGGGCCTATATTATGTGTTTCTCAGGCATATATTTAAATACTTTACCATAAT